GACGTTCAACCACTCAGCCCCCCAGGTGCCATGCACATGCCCCTATTTTAATGTGGAAAGAAGCAGCTTCAAAAGTACAATGGTTTCTCAACAAGGAGAAAAAGAAAAGATTTTTTTTTTTAAGTGCTGACTAAAGTGCAACAGTTTTAGCTCACATAATCCTGAAATGTTTCAGAGAACTCCAGATTATGAGAGTTTGGTCACAGCTCTGGAAAACTTGAAAAGGAATTGTTTCAAAGCAGCGTCTAGGATTTATGGAGCCTACAAAGGGAGAAAAGCCTGAAGAAATACAGCTTCAAGATGTGTATTGGTGCTAACGCCAGTCTGACCTAACCTGCTTGATGGTATAAATTTACAAAGATCTTCCACACTCGTATTCTTCTTCCACTTTGGTAATATCTTTACAGTTGCTCCCTGAGCATGGTGGGAGAGGATTACCATCCTCTGGGATACAAGTATGTATGGGTTCAGAGGGGTAGGTTAGGACACCTGTCCCTAGTACTACAGCAAGCAAGCAGTGGAGCAAGGATCTAAATCCATGCCTTCTGGCCCTAAAACCAATGTTGATTTAATAATTAAATCTGTTACTAATTGACATGTTTGCTGAGTATTTATACCTTAACCTTTTGGGGTTAATGTCTAAAAGAGCAACCAAGCTGTCTCACAGATCACCACAGACATCTCAGGCATCACAGAATGCCTAGGCTGGAAGCACCGCTGGCAGAGCCAAATGAGAGGGCTCATTTGAGAACTTGAGTTCTAGGTCCCAATCCTCTCCTGAGTGACAGTTTGGTCACCCAGGTGACTATGCGGAGAGACATGAACTCAACACAGATACTGAAAGGAGATTCAACGAAAACTCAAGGGTACCAAACTCTTCAGTGACCAAGACCGAAACACAAAGAAACAGTCCAAGGCAGTGCCTGACGAAAACATGGCATATGTTCTCTTTCTAATTATACAACGTAAAGCAGGTTTCTCAACCTGGCACTACAGACATCTTGAACCAGGTAATTCTACGATGTGCACCAGCATCTCCCCCATCCCAGTCAGCACAGCCAAACAACATCTGGGAGCAGGGTTGTTGGTGGGTTGGGGGGGGGGGGGGGAGATCAACCTCAATTAAGAACCTCTGATGAGACTCCACTGTGACGGCAGAAGCTAAGGGCATGCAAGACAGACCTACAAAGAAAAGTGAGGGATGCTTATGATCTTATTTTTATTCATGCAATAGTTTGCACAATCTTCATGAAAAGCATCAAATATTCCAAAGACATGCAGTATATACCTAGAAAAGTAGGACTAGCCCAAGAAATGGCACCTTATTATTTAGACAAACTCTTGGCAATAGATTCCAGAGACCAAGCAGTCAGCCATCCTTCAAGCTTCCCACACTCAGTAACCCTGGAGGCTGCCAAAGTATGCAAAAAAAAAAAAATATATATATATATATACACACACACACACACACACACACACACACACACACACACACACACACTTTGGCTCCCCCCATGCCTATCAAGCGATTGCTCATCTTTCTATTCTCTGGGAGGAAGTCCACCCCCTTCTGGAAACCTGGCTTCACTAACAGGCTCAAGACAGACAAAGCCTGTATTGCCTGAACTACCCTCTTCCCAGGAAGACAGAGGACTACCCCTCATAGGCCAGCAACACCCCCCACTTGGATGTGTGCTGACAGGGCTCTACTGAGCTCCCTCGAGAGAAGGGACACTCAGCTCTTTGTCTGTTGCCTTGTTTTACAATTGTTTACTCTGCCCATCGAAATCTGATGGGCTTTAGAATGCTTGGCTCAATGGCATTATCCATCTTCCCATCACCCTAGTGTCAGAGAATACTATACTCTGTCCAATGATCTGGGCCTTAAGAAACAATTATTTTCTAAGAGTTTCTTTAAAGAGAATCCATAAAATTATTTTGATTTCATATGTTCTAAGAAAGGGATTACAGAACAAAGGAAACTGTGGAGTCCTTAAGCTTTTAAATTTTGTTTTTTGATCAGCAGGTGCCTGCCCACCTGCACCCCCCAAAGTCTTGCAAGATACTTTTGAGTATTCCTGTTGGTTTACCAAGCTATGCTAGCTACGCTGTAGACAAAATTAATGTTTTTACCTTGGTATGTAAATGTCTGAAACAAAACCTTGTTTTTAAAATATCTGCAGCACAGCTAAGACTGGGCAGTTGGGCTTCTACTGACTTTGGACAGAGTGAAATTACTGCAATTCTAGACCAATGCCCCTTAAGGTTTCCACATGGGTTCTGCTTAAAACGTGAGCTCCTTAGTTCCATGAAGCTCAGGCCTGGCCCAAAGAAGCCTCAGTGAAAGTCTGGTGCATTAAAGAACAAAATGCACACGGCAACACATTGACAGTATTACCTGCAGAAGATCTTTGTAACTGTTGGTCAGAGCAAGGCATATTCCATTTCTGCTCTCTACAAGTTAACTGCCTCAGAAAAACAAAAGACTGTGAACAATAAAAAAGCTGGCTAGTTTCATGGTCTGTAAGGGTTTCAACAGGCTCTCCCCGAGGGTATTTTTTCAGTCCCCCCCTTCCTAAGCATAACTTTAAAAAAAGATGTTTTAATCAGCAAGCATATTATTTACTCCTTTAAAGGCAGGATTAGACAAAGGAGGAGGGTACAGAATGAAGTAATTTTATAAAATTAAACTCAAAAGGAAAGGGTGATGTGCATCTGAGGTTGTTTTTTAAGATTTTATTTATTTATTCATGAGAGACACAGAGACACAGAGAGAAAGGCAGAGACACAGGCAGGGAGAAGCAGGCTCCATGCAGGGAGCCCAGTGCCGGACTCGATCCCAGGATCCCAGGATCCCAGGACCCCGGGACCCTGGGGTCGTGCCCTGAGCCGAAGGCAGATGCTCAACTGCTGAGCCACCCAGGCAGCCCACACATCTGAGGTTTTAAAGTCACTGTTACCCAAGGACCCCCTAACCCATTTCTCAATCTCCAAATCCAAGGGGAGGGGGAATTTTAGGGTGTGAGATGAGGCCTCCACTCTGTTGGTGTTTGTAAAACATCCTAGCAGGTGCTCTGCCAGGCAGTCTATAATTAGTCAAATACGCCTTAGAAACTTAAAATGAACCCAAAGGGTTTCAGAAAACCAACAGCCAGCCCCTGAGCACTGAGCTGTGTCTTCACAGGGCTGCTGTGCCCAGAGCACCAAGCTGGGTGCCTGCCGGTGTGCACCCGTGTGTGCATGCACACGCCGCTTCTGAAGAGGCTCTTTTTTCAGAGCTCTAATGGCTTGACCTCAACACCTGCTGCACTTCCTGAAGACAGACAGGCTCTGGAGCTCCACTTGTTCCTCGCACGCGGCTGCACTTTCTAGGAACGACCGCACACACGCAGAGGCTGGCCAGCTGCCAAGGCGGGAGCAGCCCAGCCGCCTTGGGCCTGAACTTTCCCAGTGCTGTCAGGGCGGGAGCCCACTGCGGGCTGACTCAGCGGCCGCAGGGAACTCTGCCAGCCGCAGGCAGCGCGGGGGCTGCAGGCAACTCACAGATGTTTTGCTAAACTAAAGCAATCAGCCAGGAGGCGGGCCTGGGCCGGCGGCCAGGCTGCCGCTGTCGTGGAAACTGGGACTCTCTGATCCAAGTCCCAGCTCAGCCTCTACCTCCTGGCGATCTGCGGGAAGGCCCGGGTGCCCCCGGGTGCCAGTGGGCACCTCACCCGCTTCCCAGCCTGTTGGTGTGGACTCAGCAGAGGACAGTGCTCTGTGCATAAAGAACACCTGGAGCACTCCGACCTACCGGGTGCTGCTAGCTCAGTCAAACCTCACACCATCCCTGGGAGGTACGCTTCATCATTTTCACTTCCCAGATGAAAGGACACAGGCTCAGAGAGATTGAGAGCCCTACCGACAGGTCACAGGGTAATAAATGGAAGAGATGAGAATGGAACCATACTTTGCCAGCTCTGGAATCCACTGGAAACACTGCTGTGGTAAAACTCAGATCAACTACGCAGTGCTCCTTTATACAAAGACACTGTGTTTTCAGGTTCCAAAGGACTTTTCTTAGATGACTTCTCAGTTGCCCTGTGAAAACCCATAGTTCTTCACGACTCATTTCCAAAGAGCACCACTGGGCCACATGAAGAGCACATACTTATGAGTACCTAGAAACTACTGGCTTTGTCACAAGCTCCCTAAGCACCAAAGTGTCACTTAACCTGGAACAACTCATCAGCAACTCCCATTCTTTGAGTGAGGAAAAACTGCACTGCAGGTCAGAAAGAAAAGAGGAAACAGAAGCCAAAAGCCTGGTTGAGAACACCTTAGAGTCCTGAGACTCCACACCAAGATAATTCTTTAAGATTCCAGAATCTGAATTTTTTAAAGCTCCCAAGACGACTTTGATGCTCAGCCATGTTTGAAAATCACTTAAGCCTGCCTTGGCTAAACTGGGAATTCTGAGGTCTACCCTTTCCTATTTCAAAGGGGGTGGTGTAAGGGTGAAATGATGCAATCATGCAGGCATGATTTGGAAAATATACACAATGCAAGAGCTTCTTGTCAGCTACACTTAGCTATAAACAACAAAACTGTCCTTAAAGAGCACTACGCTGGTTTAGCCTGGAGCTAAGCAATAGTCTTATGCAAAACTGTTCTTTTACTAAAAAAACTGTAATTAGAGTTACAATTGCATTTTTAGATATCCCTCATAACACTGTTGCAACCTCTTCCTTCCTTTAAAAAAAAAAAAAACAGATTGTACTAACATTCTTTCACATCCCACTTGAAACAATCTATATTTGGAGGAAGCTGCACATTTCATTGCTGTAATCAAGAAAACAACTAGGAGAAAAAAAAAAATATCACAGTCTATGCATTACTAGGCTGTTGGGTCACTGAGTTGGGTGAGAAGGCCCAGACTGGCAGAGATCCTGACCCTGGCAGTACTTCTCTCAGTTGGCCTTTGGGAAGAATAAATGACCCCCTGCACCATGAAGACTGACCTGCTTGAGCTGCTCATCCAGATTCCAGCTTGGCTGCCCAGCTGTGGAGACTGAAGGTGGGGCCTTGGAAGCATCTTTGGTATGGTCTTCTTTAGCTTGCTGTGCACGCAATGGAAGCCCTGGCCCTGGAAGCAGACCAGATCCAGGTGCTGCTCTGGGGTCCTGGCGAGCCACTTTCTGCACATGAAAATACTTGGAAGCGGCCTGGGCCTCTTTCTCAGCCACCTCTGCAACTTCATCATCCCCATCCTCATCTTCCAGACCTCCTTCCTCCTCCTCGGGCTCTGAGTTCACGTTGCTCCGTTCAAAAACTCGGGCCACTGCTGAGGCTGGTGGCCCTCTGGCTAAGGAACCCAGGGCAGGGCTGCTAGATGGCCTCCCAGGGGTGGCAGAAAGGAGAGTCTGCTGCGTGACCAGCTTCTGGGCATACAAGAACGGGGCTTCTCTCATCTGCTGTCCCTGCTTCTCTCTGGCATCCATCTGCAGAGGAGCCAGGGGAGGGGCCTGCTGGGGTGGTGGCTGCCGAGGCTGCTTCTGTTGTGCCAGTGGTTCCATCACTGTCTCAAGCTTCACCCGCCAATTGGCATGGCTCTGAACCTGGGTACAGCCCAGCCGGCACACTGGGTCTAAACCTTAAGTGATTAACAGAAACCATAAAGAAGGAGAAACAAGGGGGGGGGGACAGTAAAACAGATATTAAAAAACTTTCTTTTTTCTAGTAAAAGGTATGACTTCTAAACATTAATCATATGCTCTAAGCCCTGGTTCTAAGAGGAGTGGTGGTGGGAGCTTGGGGTGGGGGTGGGGTGCGGTAGGGAATGGTGTGAAGAAGAACGGGATTTACGAGAGGAAATTCGGGATGTATCTCAGCAGTGGTGGACAAATGTGGGTATAAAAAATAAATCCAGACAGTTTCGAGCCTGCAAAACTCTGTGTTCTGATCTCTCTCTCTCTCGACATTATCAAACATTAGCGTGTTTATCACCGAAAAGGCAACCGGGTTTGTACTGTACAAAAGTTGTAAGTAAGAAAACCACAATAAAAAGGGAAAGAAGGGCCTGTCTACAAAGGAGAGAGCACGGCTTATGTTCCCAGGCCCATGAGAGAAAGAAAGCACCGCCCTAGCTAGGCACAGAGCTATCAGGCAGACAGAATGAGCTCTCTCCTACAAAAGCAGAACACAGCAAACTGCTCTTAGGTTTAAACTTTTCAAATTTCCCCGATCGCATGGCCGGCCTGCTTTTCAAGTGGGCTGAGCCTCGCTAACTGTACATTATAGCCTCAAAAAAGAATCCAATTTCAACAACATGAAAGAAAGAAACATGCAAGGGGGCAACAGTTTCAAATTGCAATGGTCAGCTCAAAACAAAAAAACAAAACAAAACAAAAAAACAAACAGGGAGGAATTCCTCTGGAGATTTTAAAGTTAATTAAATTGTAACAGAGAGCAATATTGTATAAACAACAAGTTAATGCTGCTTTTTCATAAGTGGCCAAGTAAATCTCTTCACATCCCTCTTCTTTCTGATTCACTTCCACTGTGACATTCTATGACAAATGCACACAAAAAAGGCTTTCAGGCCCAAAGTGTTCTGGGGGCAGGTTTATCAGCATTCTTACCAATCAGTCTCCAAACACATCCCCCCTTTCACACCCTCTTCTCCACTCTGGCTTCCCCTTTCCCTTCCTCCTCTCCAGATCTCCACTCCCCCACCCCCCCCACCCGAGGAACCTCACTCCAGTTCTGTTTCCTCAGCAAGTCTCCATAATTGAAGGGGGATTACTAGGCACACGCACATTTTAGGTGAACAGGACTTGCAACAATGGCATACAGTGTTGTCATCACATGAAAGAACTCAATTGCACAGGTTGAGACTTGATATTTGCGTTGTTTCACTGTTTTCCAACTGAGACTAAAGATTTAAAAAAAAAAACGAACGGGGGTGGGGGAGAGAAGGGGGTAGGAATCACCTTCATAGCAATAAAAACTGCCTGGGTCTATTAATCTCTTAATGGGCAGGGGGAAGGTGCAACTCTTTAAAGCGAGGTGAAAAAAGTAGAGATGAAAAATTCTCATTGTTTATCTGAGAAGCGCTTGCTTTGGCCTTTCGCGTTCAGTGCAAGACTCAAATCCCAGTCTGCCTCTTTACTTGCCTTTTTAACTTCCTCTCCTGGCGCTTGAGAAAGTGTGACTTTAACGCCCCTAGCGCTTCTTTCAGTCGGCTTTGGCCCTCTTTATAGTGTAACGAAATATGAAAAGATTTTCAATCCAGCATTCAATCCAGCCGGCAAAAGGATATACATTGAGGATTTAAAAAAAGAAAAAAAACTGGCGTCCAAAAAAAAAAAAAATTAAAAGACTACAGCAAACAATCGGGTGATCATTTTAACTTTCCTTATAATAATAGTAATAATAATAATAATAATAATAATAATAATAATAAAAACTTCCTTTATAATCACTACAATGTATCGCAAAGGGAATCGTTTTTCAGCCGGGCCCTGCCGGGCCCCGAACCCCCGCCTCCCGAGCGGCCGCACCATCTTCCCGGCGCGCTGTCCCCAGCGGGGGGGGGGGGGGGGGGGCTGCCTCCTCGGTGAGATGGAGAGGACTCAGTGCCCCAGGTCACACGCCCTCCTCCCGAGAGCCCACCTACCCCGTCCCGAAGCAGAAAGGTCCAAACAACAATGCCACTTGCCTACATAGAGAAAACTTGTGTCCCTCGCAAATCTAAGCCACTCCGTCCCTAAACCCGGCCCCCTCCCCCATTTCCCCCGAAGCCCCCGGACCGCCGGGCCGGGGCCCTGGGCCCCCCCCCCGCCCCATCACTCCGACCTCCCCCGAGCCCTCCAGCCAATCCGCGGGCGCTCCCCGGCCGCCCCGACCGCATCACCCTCGCCCTCGCAGCTCCCATCTCTTTATCTCACCCCCCACCCCGGGGTGCGCGGCGCGTGGGGTCCGCTCCCCGCGCCCTCACCTTCCCCCGCACACCTGCCTCCCCTCGCAGCCCTCCGGCCCCTCCACCTGCAGCAGCCCCCGCCCCCGCGCGGCTGAGCGAGCCGGGCCCCACGAGGCTTACCCGACCGGGGCGCTCCGGGGTCCTCCGGCGTCAGGCCCCGGCTCCAGCCGCTGCGCCTCGGCCTCCTCCGCAGCCGGGGGCCACAGCCGGGGCGGGGCCCGCACCGGAAGCGGCGCCGCGGGGCCGGGGCCGCGAGCCCGGGGCGGGGCCGCACTGGCCGGGGCGGGGCCTGAGGCCGGAAGCGGCCAAAAAGGGAGCGAGGGGCGGGGCCAAGCAGGAAGTGACTTCAGGGACGGCCCCGCCCCGCCGAGTCGGCGGCGGAAGCGGACGGACGCCGGCGGTGATTTCGGCCAATGGGAAGGCGCGCACGCCGCGGACTTCCGGCGTCAGGACTTCCGCGCGGAGTTGAAAAGAGTCTGTCTGTGTTGCTCCTCGTCCGCGCGCCCTGCGGCCGCAGAGGGTGGTGTGGCGCGGCGTCGGGTTGGGAGGAAGACACAGGAAACACGACGGCTGCCCGCGGGGTTTTTTTCTGCTTCGGTTGCTTTCCCGCGCTGCCTGCTTTCAAGTCGATCTTCCTCTGAGATTCCCGCTTCCAGGTCAGTGTTCCCGTGAACCTCCTGGGCTGAGACCTGGCTGCCCCCTGAGGATGCTTCGTCCCCTGGGCAAGGCGTATCCTCCCTTCCCGGGTCCAGAGGGTGGGGGCGCTCTGTGTGGAAGACGCTCCCCTCTTGGAAAAACCCTCGCTTCCCCGACGCTTACTCTTAAGACTTTGCCGCCTGTCGAACCGCCCTTCGAGATCTGCCGTTCACTGGGGCGGCCAGCTCCTGCTCTTGCTTTCCTCTCGCCTATCTGCCACCTGGATAATGTCAGGTGGGTTAATGAGGCCCCGTTACCATCTGGGCCTCATCTCTAGCGACCGTGACATCAGCCCCCCATCTCTAGCGACCCTGACATCAGCCCCCCCATCTCTAGCGACCCTGACATCAGCCCCCCCATCTCCAGCGACCTTGACATCGGCCCCCCATCTCTAGCGACCCTGACAGCGGCCCCCATCTCTAGCGACCCTGACATCGGCCCCCCCATCTCTAGCGACCCTGACATCAGCCCCCCCATCTCCAGCGACCCTGACAGCGGCCCCCATCTCTAGCGACCCTGACATCGGCCCCCATCTCTAGCGACCCTGACACCAGCCCTCTCATCTCTAGTGACCCTGACACCAGCCCCCCATCTCTAGCGACCCTGACATCGGCCCCCATCTCTAGCGACCCTGACAGCAGCCCCCCCATCTCTAGCGACCCTGACAGCGGCCCCCCCATCTCTAGCAACCCTGACATCGGCCCCCCATCTCTAGCGACCCTGACATAGCACCCCCCCATCTCTAGCGACCCTGACATCGGCCCCCCCATCTCTAGCGACCCTGACATCGGCCCCCTATCTCTAGCGACCCTGACATCAGCACCCCCCCATCTCTAGCGGCCCTGACATCGGCCCCCCCATCTCTAGCGACCCTGACATCAGCCCCCCATCTCTAGCGACCCTGACACCAGCCCCCCATGTCTAGCAACCCTGACAGCAGCCCCCCATCTCTAGCGACCCTGACATCAGCACCCCCCCATCCTAGTCAAAAATCAGGACTTGTCACCAGAAATGTTATCGCATCACAGATTAGTAATTGGAACAGCCTTCTTCCAGTTACAGCCTGATGTGCTTTCAGCTTGACTGCCTAGGAACTTCCTAACTTCATTGGAAGCCTCCATTAGGGGGATCCCCGGGTGGCTCAGCGGTTTAACGCCGCCTTCAGCCCAGGACGTGATCCTGGAGACCCAGGATCGAGTCCCACATCAGGCTCCCTGCATGGGGCCTGCTTCTCCCTCTGCCTGTGTCTCTGTGTCTCTCTTGAATAATCAAAATCTTAAAAAAAAAAAAAAAGAAAAAAAAAGAAAGTAAGAAAGCCTCTATTAGTCCACATTCTTCACTTCCCTTCTTATGTATCTGAGATATGATGGTACACCATTACAGTCCTACTCTTGGTTGTAACCGTGCCCGCCACTCCCTTTTCCCCACCCAGGTCCTCTGCCCTAGACGGACCTACATGCTTCTCCATGCCTGTATCCTGTAGAAAATTTTCCTGATGAACAGACTGGCGTCACTAAGTTATTAATTTCAACCTTAAATGGGCTCTGAACAGTACCTGGAAATTTCATTGTAATATTTTTCTGGTTAACTTGCTCTCTGCTATCTCTGCAAATCTGTAACCCTACACTTCCCATACACCTTCCCCTGATCATCTTACTGTGTGTAACAAAAAATGCAGAATGCCCTATACCCCCCAAATATAGAAACAGTATTTAAAAGGAATACATGCCAGTCACCTGGGTGGGTCAGCAGTTGGCTCAGGGCATGATCCCTGCATCTGGGATCGAGTCCCACATTGGGCTTCCTGCAGGGAGCCTGCTTCTCCCTCTGCCTGTGTCTCTGCTTCTCTCTCTGTGTGTTTCTCATGAATAAATAAATAAAATCTTAAAAAAAAAAAAGAATACATGCACCCCTGTGGTTATTGCAACATTATTTACAATAGCCAAATTATTATAAAAACAGTCTGAGTGTCCCATCAATAAACGAATGGATAAAGGAGACATGATATATACACAATGGAATATTATTCAGCCAGAAAAAAGAATGAAATCTTCCCATTTGCAACTTGGATGGAACTAGGAAGTATAATGGTTAGTTGAATAAGTCAGGCAAAGAAAGACAAATACATGATCTCACTCATGTGGAACTTAAATGAGTAAAGTTGGGAGAAAGACAAACTAAGAAATAGATTTTTAACTATAGAGAACAAACATGATTATGAGAGAGGAAGTGGGTGGGGGGAATGGGTGATACAGATGATGGGGATTAAGGATTACACTTGTCTCTTAAGGAGTACCCTTGAGCACTGGGTGGTATATGGAATTATTCACTCAATATATTGTGCACATGAAACTAATATAACCCTGTATGTTAACTATACTGAAATTAAAATGAAATAAATGCAGAATGCCTTAAAATCTAGAAATGTACGTGTGTTCCCATTCAGTCTTTTCCTCCTATAACTTATTAAATCACAAATATTCGTTGAACTCACACTATATGCCAGGCAAGGTGCTTATTAAGCAGGGAACAATAAAAAAGTCCCTATCCTAAAAGACTTTTTTAGTGTTGAGAGACAGAAAAACAAATATGTGCTATGATGAAGAACAAAGCAGAAAAAGGGTTAGTGGTGTCAGGTAGCTGCTCTTTCAGGTGTTAGAGAAGGACTGATAAGCAGAAAGTGGAACTGATTTGATGGAGTAAGCCATGTGGATATCTAGAGGAGTGTTCCAGGCAGAGAAGACAACGGATTCAAATGCTCTGAGGCAGGAACATGCTTGGCTTGCTAACAGAATAGCAAGGAAATCCCTATAGCTGATACAGACTGAGTGAGGGGGATGGTGGCAGGAAAAGAGATCCGAGAAGTAGTCAGGGCCCAGTCACGTGGATCTTTCAAGCCATGGTGACAACTTTGGATTGTTAACACTGAAACCACTGGAGAGTTTTGAACAGAAGAGTGGCCTTATCCAATTTAAGGCTCTAAAAGGCTTATTCTAGCTGTCGTGTGGAGAACAGACTGAAGGTGGAGGTATGATTAGAGGAGAAACACTAGCCCTGGCAAAGGATGATGGTGGCCTGAGCTAGGTGACTGCATTGAAGGTAGTAAGAAGTGGTCAGATTCCAGGTCTATTCTGAAAGTAAAGCCACCAGGATTTACTGATGGATTGGATGTGATGGATTGGAGAAGAGAGTCAAGAGTCAGGGATGAAGCCAAGGTTTTTGGCCTGAGTAACTGGTAGAATGGTGAAACCATCTACTGACCTGGGGAATGCTATCAGAAACTGACCCCAATGAAAACTCAGCAATATAAAAGGATGAAGTATTGATATACCCAACGACTTGGCATTACAACAACATAACAATAGAGGCATTACGCTGAATGAAAAGCTAGTCTCAAAGTGACACTCTTGAAAAGATGAACACTGTAGTGATAGAGAGTAAGTTAGTGGTTGCCAGGAGTTAGGGGTGGAGGAGTGACAGTACAGGGATAGCAAAAAGGAAGGTTTCACAAGGCGAAACTCTTGTGTACCCTGATTGTGGGGGCAGTTTCATGAATCTATGCATGTGTTGAAATCCACAGAACTGTACAACAAAAATACAACCAATTTTATTGTATGATAATTTTTTGTAAGCCAAACATTTCATGTATGCATGAGTTCTCTTCCCCATTCCCAGGGCTCCCCTTTAACCTCTTGCAATACTGGATCCTTCCATCAGTATTCTATCAAGTTCTACTTTCAACCATCTTTTGCTTGAAAAAAAAAAAAAAAGAAACAAAAAATCTTTCCCTTGACCCCATATTCTATAACTAAAGGCTTATCTCACTATTCCCCTTTCTGGAAAAGTTTCTAGAATTACTATCCTCACTGCAGCCCAGTTGATTTTATCTCTCCTTAAAATGATGGGATGAGCACTGGGTGTTATTCTATATGTTGGCAAATTGAACACCAATAAAAAATGAATTTATAAAAAAAAATTAAAAAATAAAAATAAAAGCATTTTAGTTGCAAAAAAAAAAAAAATGCTCTATGGCTTCCCGTTGCTCTTGAGATCAAGACCGAAATTCCTTCATGCAGCCTGCAGAACCCTAGTCTCTGCCTACATCTTTGGTTTTATCTCTTTGCCTCAGGTGCAGTAGGGGACCCAAGAGGGCAGACTCACCAAATGACCTCAGTAGTTAGAAAAGTCTCAAAAAAAAAGAAAAAGAAGAAAGAAAGAAAGAAAGAAAGAAAGAAAGAAAGAAAGAAAGAAAGAAAGAAAGAAAGAAAGAAAGAAAGTCTCACCAGAGAAATATGTTTAACCCTGAGGTAATCACCTATCCTGGTTATAAGGACTATCATTCAATCTCTCTTTTATCTTCTAAGTATAGGAAAGTGAACTGAATAGCCTTATTATTTTCCAGCTTCTTCCCTCAAGAGGTGTAGTCTTTCTCTGAATCTAGGCTTGGCCACTTGACTTGCTTTGTTCTATGGGACATTAGCAAATCTGATATAAGGAGATTCTTTAAAAAGTGCTTAGAAATTGTGGCTTGGTTTCTCTTACTGGGAACTCTTCCACCACCCTGTGAAAAACTCATGGATGACCTGAAGGGTGAGGGGAGGCATGTGGCCCACACCTCATCTGACATCTAACCAATTGCCAAACATATGAGTGTGGCCCCTTAGACCAACTAACCTGCCAACCACCAGACATGTGAGCCAGGCCATTGTAGACTATCCAAGTCCAGCTGTGTTGGCCTAGATTAGCTGTGGTCTGCTGAACCCACAGACCAGTGAAAAATAATGTTTATTGTTTTAAAGTTAAAGCAATAAATTTTGAGGTGGTTTGTTTTGCAGTAAAAGGTAAAGGATACCCACGGCATTTCTTTGCATCCATTAGGCTGGATTTGGTTGGGTGTACTTCTTGGAGCTGCTTAGCATCTAAAGACGAGAGCCACCATACATCCCCTTCACATAGTTAGTCTATGTTATCTTATGTTCTCCCATCTGATTTCTCACTGTTTTGCTTATTTACAGCAGGGGTAATCTCACAACGCCATGTCTTTTGTACTTCAACTTGTTTGGTAAAACTACTATAATTGACATGGTTTTCACTGATTTTATTGTTTGTTTATTTTTAAATTATTTATTCATGAGAGACATGGAGAGAGAGAGGCAGAAACAGGCAGAGGGAGAAGCAGGCTCCATGCAGAGAGCCTGATGTGGGACTCAATCCCAGGAATCCGGGATCATGCCCTGAGCCGAAGGAAGATGCTCAACCGCTTAGCCACACAGGCATCCCTATTCTTTTTTTAAAACCAAAGGTTGAGGGATCCCTGGGTGGTGCAGCGGTTTGGCGCCTACCTTTGGCCCGGGGCGCGATCCTGGAGACCCGGGATCGAATCCCACGTCGGGCTCCCGGTGCATGGAGCCTGCTTCTCCCTCTGCCTGTGTCTCTGCCTCTCTCTCTCTCTCTCTCTGTATGACTATCGTAAATAAAAAAAAAAAATAAAAAAAAAACCAAAGGTTGAATTGTGTAAGTATTGGGTATCATTTGTATGTATGTTTTGTTATAAATTTAATCTTAAACATATAGGACATAAAAGCAAAGAAACAACAGGGAAAGGGTCATAAAATAATAATGTAATTAGTCATAATTAGAAAAGGGAAAGATGGGATCCCTGGGTGGCGCAGCGGTTTGGCGCCTGTCTTTGGCCCGGGGCGCGATCCTGGAGACCCGGGATCGAATCC